ATGTGCCAATGTGTGTATATACATACGTACATGTATGTTTAAATATCAAACCATTGAATTGTAGACTGATTGTCAATACTTTAGAGCTAAGCATTTTGTAGGACTTACTTAGTCATCTTTTAAATCTTATCATGAATTATATCTTGGTTTGCTATATTCCATAGTAATATCTAATTTCTGTATTTCTTTTAATCTACATCTAAATGACCCAGGGAGGCAAACTACAGTGAAACCAATTTGGTTCTGATTTATCAACCTTCAAATATTTGCAAAGGTTAATTATGTGCTGTTTATACTGAAACATGGTGAGACCTAGGCTCCCTAGCAGGCTAATAGAACTGGGGGTTTGGTGGTCTTCTGCTGTTTTCTGATTAGCCCTGAGTTCTAAAAACGGGGGTAATTCAACCAGGCTGGCTATATGTTGTCTATATGCAATCAGAAAATAGCACATAAAAGCTCCCAAAGTCCCTGAAGACCCCCCAAACCCCCAGTTTTTGGCATGCTGTGGAGGCTAGATGAAACCAAGGAGTGTTGAGCCATTATATTGTAAATGGTTGGCATTACAAACATTACTAGGAATGCGTGGTCATTACGAATGGTTGACAAATACACACATATTGCTGATGACCATGAGTCACACTCTTATTAAATAGTCATACTGAACATGTGGTTCTTACTCAACCGTGTGGTCTGAAGTAATACATATATATACATTTGTTCTGGGTTGTATTAGTAACTAGGGAACATCTCATTGCAAGCTTTTGCTTTTACTTTAAATTCAATATTGTTTTTTTCTGATATACTTTACCATTTCATGACCCTACTGTTTGTTCTGTTACCTGATAATCACCTAAAGAATAAGAAGTATGTTTACATCTACAATAAGCAATGGTGATGCAATACATTTTTGTTTGTTTGAATCTTTATTTATTCATGAGAAGCTCGAATCTAGTTACTATAGAATTTGAGTCGTCCATTTGTTGGCCCTTACAACAAAAATTACCTCATTCTCATGTCTGTTTTTCTCTGACAAAATGTCAGTGAGAAACTATGACTCTTGAACTGGGAGTGCCACGGACTACGATTTGGCTTGGTTGTTCTTTAATGCCCACAATCATGATAATGATCATTCTGGCATACTCATTTTCACCAGGGCGAAGTGAGGAAAGTCTTGTAAAGTGCCTTTCCCAAGGGCACATGGTTGGTGACTTGGCAGGATTCGAATCTAGGACGTCTAGGTTCTGAGCAATACTCTGTCATTTAAGATGCCACACAACCCCACAATGTATGTATACGAAGCGGCCTCAGTAATACTACACTACATAACTAATGTAACGTTACCTCCTTTCGCGCCCGAGCCCTTAAAACGTCCGAGCGTGACCCAAACGTTTGTCAACATCACACCCTAACCTAAGACGGCAAAGAATGTCACCCAGCCAGGCTGTCGGGCTGCCCACGCTAGCCGAAACAGTGCAAACAGTCAAACACGAGAGGAGGCTGGGCACTGTGAATTCTAACGGCAGTCAAGGAAGACTAAATCCTATGTGGTACACAGAACCATATAGTTTTCATGTCTTCTTGTCACGTACGTCTAACTCCCATAATCGTATGACATTTATATAAATATCATATGGAAATTGACATACATAAACAAATTATATGTGTCAATTTCTGTATACTTCTTTCCAAAAGCCAGACCAAATCATCCACACAACTATATTATAACTCATATACTGTTATATTTTGTATGTAAAATTGTGGAATAGTTTAGCCTTGTAGTCTTGTTGATTTATTGCCACACATTGTACCATGTACCACTGTCGAATAAATTAAAAGTTCATTCATATCTTGTACTAGTTGTAGGTTTTTAGTTACACCTAGCATGTTCATCTAGCCTGTTTTCTTTCACATGTCAGTAGACTTGAGTACGTAACATGACTAATTGCAGTGTTTAGAGGGATTGCACACCCTACCCTTCCCTACACATACACACACAGTGATAGCATTGGGCCTAGGAAAAAAAATGTTGTGTTTACTGTTTCAGCCCTGAAAAAATTAGGGTCGGTAGGTAGGGAATACCCTAATTAGACTTTGGTAATCTCTGATGATCCAACTTAAACAATGCAGCTTAACACAGTAAAACTTGCATGAGGACACTTATCAAAGTCAATGTTGGAAAACCGATTATACAACGTTTATTATTAAGTATATCACTCAGATCATGGAGCTACAAAAGATAATGATCAGCTCGAAAAAATGTATGTCCCTTGCAGGGGTCCACACACAAAATAGGCTAGAGTCGGCAGTTTTTGTTGGGAAACAGGAAACAAAACATTTTTTCCCTGAGCCTGAGCGCTGATGTGCCAAAACCTTGTGACTCACACCCGTCACATGACTATCGTATTTATCAGCTGGCCAAATTTCCACCCGACATTTACCAATACCAGCACATCGGGCCGCTAAAATCACCACATCGCCACCAATTCTACCGCGGATTACGATATATTTCCTCTCCGCCGGTGGTATGGGTCCCCTGGGATCACAGTTTTACGTCAGAATGGGGAATTAAGTTCGCCTTTCTCACATGACACGATATTGAAAGGGGGGATCTCCCAGTGATTTCAGTACAGTACAGTACAGGTGCACCCCGCCCTCCCATACTGTTAACACTTTACAGCGAAACCTAGCCGTAACTCTAGATAAAATCAGCTAATTCTGAATAAAATATGCTTAATTGTTGTCCCTACTGAAGGTATCTAACTTAAATGTCATCGAAAGAAAATGAGGGTGTAAAAAATCACCTGCGAGAGCCGCAAGGGCGAATATATCGAGGTGGAAATTAGACAAGGTTGTTCGACAAACGGGCCCCCGGGCGCCCTTTAAAACGAGAGATGTCGCCCCATTATAACCTCAGGGACAATCTAGGGAAGTCGTGCTTACCCAGGATATTATTCTGCAGATGACCTGGGGTCTTTTGATGAATTCTACGGGGTCGAAAGCCGCTCCCGCCTTGCCCGCGCCGTACGCACCGCCGCCGTCCATCTTGGATTTGCTGTGCATCATGGGAACGGACGCAACCAAACAAAAGGGACGCATTGCGTCACGGGTTAACAGGTGGGTCTCAAATTACACATGGTTTTCTTTTTTCTAACGATGGAAAAGTTTGTGGGTTTTATTATTGGTGGCTGTTGAAACAGGGTAAGCAGAGTATAGCAGACTTCGCCCCGTCAGAACATGCAGAAACTGCACTGCTCCCTCTGGGAGATCTTTCAGAAACTGCAGTGTAGAAACACAAACACACATGTACAGACACACATGAACACATACATACATGTACACACACACACACACACACACACACACACACACACACACACGTACACATACACACATGTACAGACACGCACACACACACACACTAACACACACACAGGAAAAACACACACAGAGAAACACACACAGGCACACACACACACACACAAATACACACACACACACACAAACACACATACAAATTCAAACATAGTGACCATACATATGCATCACACAATCATCATGTCAAAAGAGGAGGTTCATATTCAGCACAAGGCAACTGTAACACATCATCAATTCTAAAGGCACTTTTATGCAAGAAATGTTGAGAATTTATTTCATTAACCTGCAACAAAATTGCATCTAATTTGCAATGTGCTGCAAGAAGTTATATGTATGACTCAGTATGAGATATACAGCAACAGTTTGCATAGTACACTATAAGAAAATTTTCTGCATTAAATACAACGACTAGCTCAGCAAGCTAAAACATAAAATCTACAGAAATCACATAAGTTAGAAACAAAAACATTTGCTGTAATAAAATACACTAAGATCTGTACTTTACCTAGTCTGGATTAACAAACTGCAATAAGTAACAATATCTCTACATTTCACTTATCGATTATGTACATAGATCTTTTTCAACTTCTGATTTGAAAGATAAATATTTCATATTTACAAAACAAGCTGCCATTATTTATATGGATAGCACACACAGCTCCAAAACATAAGATCAGATTGGAGAGCTTTCATACAATAGTGAACATGTCATTAAAAGTTTTTCTATAAGGATTCATAGAGGCACTACCAATTGTATACATCATGGACACTAAAAATCTGTCTTAAAACATAAAATTTATACACATACAACTAATGGATCTTGGAGCCAGAATTTCCACATTCTTTGCAAAATATTCTGACATTTCATGTAAAACTATACACAATGTTTCAGAAGAAAAAAGTCTTCTTCATTTCTTGTTCCTTCAAGTTGAAAATATGTCATTTCAAAAGTTATACAGGTTGCAAAATAGCTTCTCAGTTTAGTGTTCACATGTTATTTGTACTTGTAATTATAAATTAGTCCACAAGATACTAGTACATGATTAGCAGATTTGGTTGGAAACAAATTAAAAATCTTCACTTTCAATATCATTAATGTCTGTCTGGCCAATAAGGAAGCGCAAACAGGATGCTTTGCACCCATATCGTTGTAATGGAATGGTCTAAATGTACATGCTGCTGATAGGATACAGCAGTAGCCTGGTATGTACCATTTCACCCATAGGGAGAACAGGGCACCACTTCTGTCAATCGGCCATGCCTGTTTTTAGATCTTCAATGTCTAAACCAGTGTTTCTTGAGATCCTTCCAAGAAAAGCAAGTTGCAATCATTGAGAAGTATTCCAAACCATTTCACTGATAGCTACGATTGTTCAGCTGATTAAAATGTTCATGTTTCCTGTTTAAAGTTAAAACTTTAGATCCAGCACAAAGATGTTCTCTCACCTAGAGCTTTCGACCAGTCACTCTGGTCTTCCTCAGTAGACTGACCCATTGAGGCTTGTCACGTGGCTTCTTTGAAGTGTGATGGCAACACTGGGTCAAAGCCTCACTGGGTCAGCCTACTGAGGAAGACCAGAGTGACTGCTTGAAAGCTCTAGGTGAGAGAACTTTTTTGTGTTGGATCAAAAGTTTTAACTTTAAACATGTAACTACCAACAGAGATGAACTGTCCTGCTACAAGAGTGAAGCTGCCTCCAGGTTTTCCCTGATGATGGTATCCATGACGACCTGAAAGACGACCTGGATGTTGCTGGTGTCTGTTGCCGTGGTGAAGTGAGGGTAGATGACCTTGGAGGGGTTTTTGTTACAGGCCTGGAACATGTGCTGGATGTAGCGAGCTGCAGAGTCCACGTCACAATCTGCACCTGCAGGGAGTTACATGTACGTCACAATAAGTTAGAAAACATCACAGTTTTTGTTACAGGCCTGGAACATGTGCTGGATGTAGCGAGCTGCAGAGTCCACGTCACAATCTGCACCTGAGGGGGGATTGTTAGGTCACAGAAAGTTAAAACTGTGTAATAGACCTTCTACTACTGCTGCTAATATGAACAAAAGCAGCACATCGGCAGAACATACTGCACCTGCGCAAAACCCATAATGTATTGTGCATAGCACTTTGGCAGAATGTCTCATATAAGGTCGTATTCGCGCGCGCATATAAGGTTAACATCCCATCTGTAGTTTCCAGATGTTATATTGAAAAAAGTATTGTCTGCAACAGGCAAAGTTCTGATGCAATGTTGACCAAAACTCCAACGAAAAATGAGGGGGTGTATGTTCAGTATGTTCTGCCAATGTGCTAGCAAAAGCTCTTTGTCAGAGGTATAAGCTATGAAGGGGAGGGTGCCAAGGTAAGAGACTGAGAAGACACTAGTAACAAATGGTTCCAGTGGATCAAGGAGGCTGTCTGGATCAGAAAGTCAACCCCAGTAATGAACTGAGAGGATGGTACACTGTTCCAGGCAATAGGTCCACAGAAACTTTGAGATAACCGTATCAGTCTAGCATGGAGGATTACCTGTATATGAAGGGAAGTAATATCTGAGGTGTCTTCCTGAGTTGAGTATCTTCTCTTGGAACAGGTCCACTTTGTTCATGAACAAAATCTGCAGGGAGAAAAAAAAAGAAGAAAAGTCAACAAAACCATTTCCCCTCCTTGTATGTTAGGCATGAATACATGTTATGACTTATGTTCAAACTCAGTTTAAATACATCACCTAAAAGTGGCTTGTCTGTCTGTCTGCAAGTGTGACCATATGTCTGCTTGTGTTAACTTTGTGCAATTTCCACCATACAATAATACAGCATTGCCATACAAATGTAATTCCTTAGTGTTGCTACTTTACATGTAGTCTGTAGGACTGCAAGGGCCACAAAGCAGTATGGGTAAAGTGGTGAAGTCTGCCATCTCTCATCTCTCTAGGTAGAGCATATCTGTATCTGTATTGGTAGAGCCAGTATAACCACCCTTCGGCATAACACACCAGGGTACAATACATTTGTACTGACTCAGTAAGTTGTAGCAACATACACATGCACTTCATAAGCCTTTACAAGGATTTAATGCTTACTTACCATGGATGTGTCCTTGAAGAAGAGATTGTTGCAAATTGAGCTGAAAAGTCTCAAACTTTCCTCTAGTCGATTCTGCAACAACAAACAGATTTCAACTCATTTGAGTACAGTGAAGAGTAACTGTATACAAATACTTTTCCGATAATGAGTAATACTCGTAGTAACCAATAGCAGTTTTCCCTTTCTTTTCTGACAATTCACAGATGCCTTAAAAAGTATATTATATAAGACTATAGAAACTAGAAAGGTAACATTTGCAAAGCAAACACATAATGTTTACCTTCACCTGGTCTAGCCCAACAAACTACTGCTCTGTTTATGCTCTGTTTATGTTTGACTCAAGTCAAATACATTCATATGTATGGTGACCAGCCTCTCCAACTCTGTCCTGCTACATAATGTAACCCAACACCACAGGGTGTCTGCTACAGCACAAGTTACCATGGTGACAGACGTCTGGTACAGGTCATTGGCTTAATTTGTTTGGAGAAGAAACTGAGCAAGAACAATATGTTTTCCTTTTGCTAAGGTAAACATAAATACTTACCACATTGGAATCCTCCAGTAAGGTCATGTCATAACCGCTTAACGCTGTGACAAACAGGATGGCTTTGACATCGTCAAAACACTGGATCCATTTTCTTCTCTCCGACCTCTGACCTCCCACATCAAACATCCTGCACACACACAACAGTTATGTGTTAGGCTGACACATAGCATGATATAGCAGACATTACATGTTAGCCAAAAGGCATACATATATCGAAAATATGGCTATACTTTAATATCTTGAATTTAGTTAACTAATACACATCATTGTACTATAAAAGGGACATTTGGGCAAATTTCTCAGTTTTACAATGATTCTTGACATGCTGATGAGAAAAGATACCTGAAAAGTGAGCAGCAGGTTGATTTGAATATTTCATTAACAAATATACATACAAACATGTACATAAATGGGAGGACTTCCACCACTTGAACCTGCATAACATCTAGCCTCCTTCGCAGTCTTGTTGGGCGTGGGCGTAATTTTTTCTCTGAGCGACGCTAGTAATATGCGGCCGCGAGGGACGATTTGCTGCCGAGGGACTTTTGCCACGGAGAGAAGGTTTCCGCGCTCCAACAAGACTGCTTCCAATCGGCGAGTTAAAAGGACCTCGGATTAAGCCAGCCTTTCATAGAGGCTATTAACATGTTCGTGCAGGTCCAATTCACATGTTCGCGCAGGTCCAATTCACATGTCCGCGCAAGGGTAATTCATAGATACGCATGACACGCGCTCGCCTTTGTCAACGGTTGGTTTTATTAGCTTGCGTGACGTTATAGTCGAAGGTTCCAACAGAGAACATTGGTAATGTTACAACAAAGGCATTGCCGTGCATATTTAAGCGTCCCATGCAAACAAACCAAGAAAATTTGCAGTACTATTTTTGCTGGTGAAATATGCAATTCTTTCTATTACGCAACTTGCTGCGGAGCGGTGTGTTACCCTCCCATGGTCAGTGAGATCAACCCGCCACCAAACAACATGGCGGCACTTTCTTTATCTGTCGACGTCCCCCAGCAATATCACAGTTTAGCTTGCGGGTTCCTGTGGTAGTGATTTGTTCAAAGTTGTTTTTCGTAGCAGCAATGTCTCCGGGATTTTGTTGAGTGGATAGGGCTGGGTTTTCGGGAATGGTTGGCGTTCTATCGACGGGTTGATCGGCGACCGCTGGAAAGTTACAAGTTTTGGCTCGTCGATCAACGGGGCGTGAACACCACCCTGCACTGGTGGCGTTTATTGCGGGAAGTTCACACATCCATGCCAATCGCTCCTAAGTGTTTTTTGATAGCCCTTTTAACTCGCCGATTGGAAGCAGTCTTGTTGGAGCGCGGAAACCTTCTCTCCGTGGCAAAAGTCCCTCGGCAGCAAATCGTCCCTCGCGGCGGCATATTACTAGCGTCGCTCAGAGAAAAAATTACGCCCACGCCCAACAAGACTGCGAAGGAGGCTACATAACATCAACCACAGGACAGAGGCAAGTGGCAGGCTGCCATCAAGCCCCAATATTGCAGTGCAAGCACGTCTAACCCTCAGAAGACGGGGAACAACAGACGATAAACTGGATAGTGACTGTGAGTGAGCTAAACGAAGGTTCAGACAAACACATTACCTGAACATGATGCCACTGATGGCAAACTCAGTCTCCAGGATGCCGGTGGTCCTGACTCGGGCCCGGATCACATCTTCTGATGTCGGCTGGAACTTCTCATGGCAAATCCTGTCCATGTTCTCAAACAAGCTGAAAGATATGTTACTTTCTTAACCAGCATTTTATCAACCTGAGGAAAGGTAGATTCACACTAGCAGGGGTTTTTCTAAAGTGGTGCTCCCTTATATATCCAGACAGCACCCCCATATCAATATATCAATTTTCAGATTGAACCCTAGGTGGCTACATACACAATATTGAGTCTTTCTCAAAATGATCTTCTTCCCGTGAAAATATACAAACAAAACATCATATATTAACAATGCATTCTAGGATTACAAACTGTGTTACTCTTGTACAAATTCCAAAATCCTACGCCCAGAAAATGGTTGCCACCACAGGAATACTGTACTTACTACAGCGCTGAGTCGTTGAGCTCGTACTCGTAACCGCGGGCGACGGCCAATCGGACGCCCTGGTCACTCCACAGACAGCGCAGCGCGTGGGTCACGAACGGGAACATCACCTGGTCCTCCCCGAAACCCCGTCTGGACGACAGGACTGTCTGCGCATGGATCTGTGGGGCAAGGGCAGGAACACATCTAGTCATATCAGCATGTTGGCAGAACGTACTGCACCTGTGCAAAACCCGTAATGTATTGTGCATAGCACTTTGGCAGAACGTGTCATCTAAGGTCGTATTCACGCACTCCAAATAGTTGTTTCCAATAGTGTAGCTTCCAAATGTCGTGTTTGAAAAGATGCAACGTTGACCAGACATCCAACAAAAATTCAGGGTTTTGTGCAGGCGCAGTACGTTCTGCCAATTACTAGTCTTATCCACATATGTGTTCATGGAAGAACTTTATTGCACCACAATTGTAGCAGCTACAACGTATGGCAACTTGTAAATAACTCGAAGTTGAGATTTACCTAATTTTATCATTAACAGTGAGAGACACTGAGACTACATCAGATATATGAGATTGTACTTGTAAATAATGGGGAGAGATCCCAGGGTCTGTCAGTATACTAGTAGTATTGAGCAAGTAGTAACCGGTACTGCTAGTACATGTAGCTGTGTTGTTTTTTTTCTGGTGAAACTGCTACTTGTTCTGATACATGGTGCTTGTTAGTTTCCTTCTATCAGCAGCTATATGAAATGCAGGTGTGTCCGTCCCCTGGAAGCATGTTAATCCTGTAAGAACAACACAGTGACTGTACCTTGTTGTTAGGGTTGGCCAGGTTGATGCGGAGCAGTCCCATCCCACTCAGCACAAACTTCATGGTACTCAGTAAGTTGTCCATCAGGGTGGGCTGAAGGGGAAATAGGAATAAAACACAGGCGTGTTTATACAATGGGTTGCTGCTAGGAACTTTTCTTGCAATCTTCCCTTAGCTTACATGTACTTAGCCAGTCAGAAAAAAATCTAATGACTGAACTGGCGAAATTCCAGGAAAAATTCACGACAAATATATATACTATTTATATTTATCAAGAGTACTGTCTGATAATCAAATCATAATGTGAAGAAAATACCCCCCCCCACACACACACATACTAAATACACTTGTAATAGTAATACAAAACAGCCATGTATATATGCAATGTAGACTCAGCAACCCTGTACTTGAACCTGCCATGGATGTACTTGTACATGTATGTACTTGACATTGACAGATTTTCTCTGCATCCCCCAAGGATTATCCTACAAACTGGGAAATCATGTAATCACTGAGAAACTATTCAGACACTGACACAGAAACAGTCACACCAGCCATATGCATGGGTCTCCCCAGAAATTCTTAGGGGAGAGGTGCTCCCTAATCGGTTGATGAAAAATCAGCGAATTTTCATGAAAACACTAAAGAGAAAACCCTAAATTTGAACATTTTGGGAGGGGTGCTAGGATTTTGGGGAGAGGGGGAGCACCCTTGTTTCATTGCTTGGGGAGAGCCCAGCCAGCAAACAGTTTAATCTGCCCTGTTAAATGGAGCAATCAAAACGGTGGGGAGATGTAACGAATGAGTTTAGATAATTGGCCATCTGTCAAGTTGGAAATCACTTTGTACATAAACATGTTATTTTGTACAAGTTATGCCTGGTTATTGTATTTTTTCATCTAACAAAAAAATACAATATCACTGAGCTCTTATATGTGACATGCTTTTTATTTGGTAGTAATTCATATGCAATTCTCAAAAGGCAGTGTTCGAAATACCTGTCTGCAGTCTGCAATCTGCAGATAGATTTTCAAGATTGCAGAAGAAAAATTTATACATTCTGCAATCTTGCAGAAGGAAAAACAGGCGCTGGTATTATTGGTTTGAAAAGGTTGTAGTATGGAGGCTTGTGTATTTTGACTCTTCTGCAATACTGCAGAGCACAGAAAAAAAGTACATGTACTTGTAATCAAGGAGGTTCTATCACTTGTTGTAATCAACCCTTCTCCACAATCAGTGAAGTGTAACACCCCCGTAGATTGAAGTACATCTGAAATCAATATGCACGGAGCACCGACCATGCAAAACAGCAAACTCTGTTAGCCTCTATAGCAGGCTTATAGAACTGGGGGTACGGTGGTCTTCGGCTGTTTTCTGATTAGCCTCCGTAGCAGGCTTATAGAACTGTGGGTTTGGTGGTCTTCGGCTGTTTTCTGATTAGCCTCCGTAGCAGGCTTATAGAACTGGGGGTTTGGTGGTCTTCCGCTGTTTTCTGATCAGCCCAGTTCTAAAAAACGGGGGTTATTCAACCAGGCCGGCTATGTTGTCTATATGCAATCAGAAAGTAGCACAGTCATAAAGCTCCCAAAGACCCTGAAGATCCCCAACCCCCTGGGTATTTGGCATGCTGTGGAGACTAAAACTCTGCATGCTGCTGGAAAACACTGTATACTATTGGATCACATGAAAGAAACATTTGACTTTTAAGGTAATCAATATGAGGCTGAGTCCAACAATCTTTCTTGTCAAGGGCTGTTGTGCTAAGGATTAAATAATTGCAAAGCAAGTTTAAACTTAAGAAATGGCACTTTCTTCCTTCTAACAGTCTTATGTAGGAGATTTTAAAAGTAAAAGGTGTTCAATGTTTCAAGATGTTATAATTTTGTTTTGCAAATCTTTCCTCTCAGACTGAAAGTACTAGTAGTAGTATATGTCGGTAAAACCGTGTAAATTTGGATTGGTTGATTTTCTGTCAGTGCTCAGCAGAGCATACAGCCAAATGCAGCTGGCCACACAACGATGCATTACAGCACATTTCTGGGCTTTGTTATTCAAACCTTGAACTTGACTTACTCCCTTTCTAAACATATGACTCTGAAATGAAGGAAAAATCTTTCACTCATTTAAGTTAACGTTTGTCTATGGACCTCTATGGAAAGCTAAAAAGAAATTCAAAAGATTTAGGCAAAACAGAACCATTGTCAACTTGACACATGACTCTTTTGTTGTGCACTGTCTGAAGTAGAGGGCTGTTGTTCAAACAATTTGTAGCAGTGAATGTGAATCAGTCAACTGAGTGAGAGAATCAGTGGACCAAGTGCATCCTTCCAAGCCGAAGGGCTTTGTAGTAAATTGTACCAGATGATTATACTTATAGTTGTAATGATAGGGCTGACATCTGGTAATGACAGGTTAAGGTTTGTCTTTGTCCTCCATAAAAGGTGTTTCGGTACCACTTAAAATTCATGATGCACATTTCTGAGAGATTAGTACATTCATTGTGACAAACCACTGTATCATCTACCAGTGTGCTGTACAGAGTTTGTTTAAAGGTTTGTCTTTGTCTTCCTAACAGGTGTTTCGGTACCACTTAAAATCATGATGCACATCTCTGAGACATCAGTACATTCACTGTGACAAACCAAATTGTGTAATGTGCTACTAGTATGTTGCAATTGTGTGCTGTGCAGGGCTTGGAATTCAGCCTATTCTAAAGTACATTGTACTATGAAATGTAAATCAATACTGAGACAATGGTCAATGGTAGTCACATGGTATTACTGTACAATGAGGAATTGACAGCTACATGATTGATTAGGTGATAAGAATTGATCAGTTTCGCATTGGTTACACTAATTTGCTGCTTTACAGTATGCAGAGTACACTCTACAAGTGGTTGAAATTAAGCAGCCTGGGTGCCATCCACTTTGTAATGGTGCTCTGACTATCAGAAAAAGGTTACATATATATATAGCATATATTAGTCAGGGGTTTCCCCAGATTTTTTTAGGGGAGAGGTGCACCTTAATCGGTTGGTCCACAAAAATAAATCTGCAAATTTTCATGAAAATACTAAGGGAAAACACTAAATTTGAATATTTGGGAAGTGGTGCTAGGATTCTGGGGAAAGGGGGAGAACCCCTGCTTCATTGCTTGGGGAGAGCCCTGTTAGTATTTACCACTAATAAATACCAGTAGCAGCTAAGGATAGCCTTGGGGACCAGGGTGAAGCCAGGTCATGGGCTAAGGACACTTGAGTTGACCACAAACTGCTGAGAAACATTTTTGAGAAACAAGCCAAGATGGATGTAGGAACTACCAGGGGAGACAGTTTTATCTTCAGGCTGAATACCAGGAGTGGTTGAGGTAGCCTCCGTAGCAGGCTTATAGAACTGGGGGTTTAGTGGTCTTCGGCTGTTTTCTGATTAGCACAGTTCTAAAAACGGGGGTGATTCGATCAACCAGGCCGGCTATGTTGTCTACATGCAATGAGAAAATAGCACATAAAAGCTCCCAAAGACCCTGAAGACCCCCAAAACTAGTGATGCATACCTAAACCCAATTTCAGGTTCAGGTCCGGATTCAAGTCCAGAGGTTTAGGTTCAGGTCCGGACTTAAGTCAGGACCTAAACCCATGGCATATACAAAATTGCATGTTGGCAACCTTGCAATGTTGTCTGGGTGAAACTTTGGCCACGTAACATGGAGGCTGGTACTTGACGATGCCCGATGGCAATGTTTTCTTCATTTTGCAGCAAAGATTTTGGAATCTACGGAAGGCTTTAGGTGGTTTAAAAAGAAAAGGGGTATGTGAAATGGTCTTTTATGGTAATAAGTCTGGACTCGGTTCTTAACTTTTAGGTTTTTTTGGACTTGAACCTAAACATTTTTACAAGTCCGGATCCAAGTCCAGTGAACCGGTATGCACCACTACACCATGGTTTATGTTTCATACCATAATTACACAGTACACATTCCTGGCAGCCCAATAGCACATTCTAACACCTAGGGCATGCCGGACCACGGCCCTGTCAATTAACTGAAACATAATCCCCACCCACCCATGCTTCTAATCCTTGCTTGGTACTAAAATACACTAGACCCCCCCCCCCACACACACACACCAG